CTTGGGCAGCCAAGAGTATATGCTTGTAAGCTTGTATTTTTTTTTTTTTTTAATCTTTTTGAAGCAGGGTCTCCCTGGAGCCCCAGCTGGCCTGGAACTCACTATGGAGACCAGGCTGGCCTTGAACTCACAGAGATCCGCCTGCCTCTGCCTCCCAAGTGCTGGGACTACAGGCATGCGCCACCACGCCTGGCGCTTGTATCTTTAAAAAAATATATTTTATTTATAATTATTTTATTTTATGTGTATGTGCTGAGCCATTTCTCCAGCCCCAGCTTGTATCTTTTAAAAAATATTTTTTTATTATTTTTATTTCATATGTATGCATGTATTGCCTGAATGTATGTTAGTGCACCCGTGTCATGTAGTGCTCTCAGAGATCAGAAGAGGGCTGCACATCCACTAGAACAGTTGTTAGCTGCCATGTGGGTACTGAGAACAGAACCCAGAACTGGCTGCAAGAGCAGCCAGTACTCTTAACCACTGAGCCATCTCTCCAGCTCACTTTTAATTTTTTTAAAGGACAAGGATTATATGACGAGTGCAGAGCATGGTATTTTGAAATATGTGTGTGTTGTGGGGTGTGCTAACACATGTATTCCCTCATACTCTTATATTTGTGGTGAGAACACTGAAAGTCTACTCAGGTATATCATATATTGTTAATTGTAGTAATTTAGTTTCCTTTGACCACGCCTCCAACTCCTGTGGCTACATTTTATTTTCCTCCGTGTAATTTTCACATCTCTAAAGCACTTTTGAATCAACCTGTTTTGGAAGTCATCACATAGTCATGTACCAGAAAATACCACCAGAGGGCACTATATCACTTAGAGAGGCCTCACCTGGCCTTCCAGCAGAATCATGATTTATGTCTGAGTACTGGGGATCTGGGTCCAGGCTGGAGAAAAAAATCCAGTACACAATAACTGTGATGCTCAGCCAACATCTAGATAAAGAACTTTTCATGCTCTTCTTGGCTTTATTCACTCTTTTTTAGTTTGTGTGTTTACCCACTTAGTTTTATTTGTTTCTTTTAAGCCCTTTGGGATTGTCCAGGAGAGAATACTTGAAACCCCTGGTTTGCTTTGAAAGTGACCTAGACAACATGTGCATTTGCTAAAGGGCCTGGGAAACTTCAATGTATTACAGACAAGTAAATGACCCCTATTGTTTTTAGAACCCAGTAAAGTTTCTACTTTTGTTTGGCTTTTAGTTCTTGCATAATGGTACTCAATTCCCAGCTGGTAGACTCACCCATAGTAGGTAAAGATGCTCTGGGGCTATTTGTATGTGCTTCTGTACCTTCCCTTTTCCCAGGCCATCCAGGGAGTGGCTAGACAATGGACGAATGTGGGTGATTGAAGTCAGGCAGGCTGGAGGGATTCTGCCTCTCTGGAGCATGTTCATAGCCTAGTTGTCAGTGAGGTCCTCTGTGGGACACAGTAAAGGCTAAACAGAGCCCAGGGGTCACCACATGATCCTACTGCTGTCCTCATCCTAAGTGGAGACGAGGTCCTAATCACACCTCTTCCTGCAGAGTATAGTGCATGAACACTATGGGGGGGGGGGTCAGAAGACCTGGTCTGAGTTTGTCCAATTTGGTGGTGTGTATGTATATGTGTGTACCTGGGTGTGCCAGTACGCTTGCCCCTGAAGGCATATATGGAGGCCAGAGGGTGATGTTGGATGATTTCCTCAGTCACTTCTCCACCTTATTTTTGAGACAGGGTCTCTTCAGTGAGTCTGAAGCTCATCTTTTTTTTTTTTTTTTTTTTTTTTTTTTTTTAAAAAAAAAAAAAAAAAAAAAAAAAAAAAGAGGACGATAAATCTTTCACTCTCTGGCATACCACCAGTTCTGGGATTACAGATGCATGCCACCATGCCTGGATTTTATGTGGGAGCTGGGGATCTGAATTTAGGTCCTCATGCTTGTGCAGCAAGCACTTTGCCCACTGAGCCATTTCCCTAACCTAGGATCTCTTTTGTTTTCCAGTTTTACAAATGAGGAACTCTGAGAATACTCGATACCTAAGGTTCTGGTCTAGTGTGAGGTTCGATCCAGTCTAGGAAGAGCCTTTTCCTAAATGGAGAAAGCCAGGTGGTATGCAGAACGCCAGTAGATGCAGAGAGCTGGGCAAAGGTGATGCGTGTTTCCGGTGCTCACTGGCACTCTCATTTTAGGCTTTCAGTCAGACCATTCAGGGAAGTCATGAGAGCAGGAATGAAAAGACATTGACTTTACTCTGATGGATCCTGAGTAAGCTCAGGTTTTGGATAACACTGGAGATGGTCAAAGTGCCACACTGGGGTCCACCAGAGAGCAGAAAGAGATGTTGGGTGTCTCATGGACCTTCTAGTTTCCACTGGAAGGATGCTGAGATGACGAGGAACACACCTGAAGACTTGGCACTGGAGAAGACAGAGGGCACAGTGACCAGCACCCTCTTGTAAATAACCCCAAGACTCATGTTTCAGGGGAATCAAGGCTGTAAGGGTTTTCTAGGAAGCCCCTAGAGGGGACTGTTAGTTGTAGAAGTTCGATTTTGCTGGTGTGGGACTCCATCCTGAAGGTTTCCTTACCCACAGGGGAGATAGGGTCCTATCTTTGCTGCGTTACACTTATGGGTGCTTTATTTTTAAGTGTCAAATCTTGGATTTGACTTAAGGAAAGTCATTAATTCTCTTGGCATATGCTAAAGCACAAAGGTAGAGAACTCAGCTATTTAGAAGGCTAATAAATAAAGGAACCCCAGTGTCACAGTCACCTTGCATCTCTTCCCAGCCCTTCTAAGCCAACAGCCCCAGTGGTTGGGAAAGACCCAGGACCTTTGCATGCACTGGAATAATGTGGCAGCGGCTGCTCAGTTCATAGGATGAGGCTAGAACTACCACTGGATGGCAAAGGGGAGACTGAAGCAGTCTCTCCTTTTTTGAGATAAAAATATTCTTGTTTGTGTGTGTATGAGCACATGTGTATGCCACAGCATGCACATGAAGTCAGAGGAAAACTTACAGGAGTCAGTTCTCTCCTTCAACCATGTGAGTTCCAGGGATTGAACTCAGGTGGTCAGGCTTGGAGGCATGTGTCTTTACCAGCTGAGTCACTTTGCCCCATTCAGCTGTCTTTTACTCTGGGTTTGAGTACCACATACTCAGGAACTTTTACCTCACTCCAATTTTTTCTCTTTGACTTTGGCCATAACTCTTTTACTAATGGATGTGTCTACCAGACCCAAGGAATATATTCTGAATCAACCAATGGTAGCTTCAAACATCTTCAGTGTCTGCCAGGCTTGGCTTCCTCACCCCAGTCCTCCTGTGCATCCTAAGGCCAGGACATGGCTGACTTCTAATTCAGGCAGAGACAGCCTATGTATGCAGTTAAGGATGCTCAACTTACCACAGGAAGAGCCTGAAAGGAACCTGAGAATTCCAATTAGGCTTAAACTAATGAGCTGGAAACTTAGGGGAAATCACTGTGGGCAATGAGGGGAGAGTGATCATCTTTGTTTTAATTAGCACTGGAAAAAGTTGTGGTCCAGCTGGTAGCTGGAGGAAGAAGTGTCCAGAGGGAGCAAGTTTCTGAGTGCATCCAAGAAGGGACGCCCGTGGTGGTGGGGCATAAGGACTGCTAAACAAACCTGGACTCTTTCCTCTTAAAGGGGAGAGGCAGGAAGACCCTAAACGTAAAAAGGCAAGCCCCAATGCAGAGAAGAGTGTACGTCGTCCAGTCGTCCTCCTCCTCACAGGATAGTCAGAGAGTAGAGAGAGTGACCCAACCAGCCAGGTCGCCATCATTTGTTGTTTAATTAGAGAGAGAGAGAGAGAGAGAGAGAGAGAGAGAGAGAGAGAGAGCCTGCTGCTGTCAAAGGCCATAGTCCACCAATAGCCTTCCAGATGGCCCTGTCCTTTAATCACGCGCGGGAAGGCACTCGGGCACCTAGGAAATCGAAAAGCGAACTAAGAGTCAGCATAGCAGGTGTACCTATCTTGGGCTAGGGTCTTTCTCATTCACCAAACTTGAGAGTCTTGGGGGCACTCCGCCCGTGGACTTGACAGCTGTCCACTCCTCCCTTCTCCATTGGTGGGCTCCTTGGGGAAAAACCGGTCTACCCTGGGCGTCCAGTGTTTTCCCCCTTGGGTCCCCTACTGTGCCTGGTACCGGGCGCAGCGCATTGGAGAAACGTGCCAGGTGTTGCACCTGGGCTGGGGGGGGGGCGCTATACCCTGCGACTTGGAGGGTGGGGGGCGCGTGCCCTGCCACCTCCAAGGGGCCTGCCACCCCTACTCGGCCCCAAGCCCCGGCGAGCCAACGCCGTGAGCCTCCTCCCCTCCCGCTTCGGGCAGCTTGAGCCCGCGCCCGCTCCAGTTGCTGCAGCTGCTACTGCTGGCGGCTGCGGGGAGCGCGGGGCGCGCGCCGGAGAGGCTCGGGAGGCGAGGACGGGGACGAGGAGGAGCAGGAGGAGGCGAGGAGGGAGAAGCGAGCGGAGGCGGAGGAGGCTGGGGGTCGCGGAGACGCGACCCGAGGGTGTCCCGCCGAGCATGGGCTAGCGGGCGGCGGGGGCTGGGCAGCCCGCCACAGCGAACCTGCCGCGGCCCCGCGAGCACAGGAGGCGGCGATCCCTGAGCCGACCGCAACCCCGGGAGGAGGAGGAGAAGGAGGAGGAGGGCCGATGCGGGCACGCCCGGGCGGGAGGGCGCGGATTGTGCGATCCTAACGCGCTGTCGCCTCATCAGCTGAGAGCGTGGACGGGCGGGGGACCCCTGGCCGGGGTTGCAGCTCACACGCGTGGCGCACGCCGGGTGGCGCGGCGCCGAGGGCACCCGGGATCGCGCGTGCGGAGCCCGGGGCGGCGCAGACCCCGGGCGCGGGCCCGGGCCGGGGAGGGGGAGCCGCCGGTGCGTGCCATCCCCTCCCCCACCCCCGGGTGGCCCGCCGGCCCGGGGGAGGGCGGGCGGCGGCGCTTGGCTGTATATATCTCGGCGCACCCCGCCAGGTCGCGCACAGCGCCCCGAGCCCAGGCGCCTCCCCGCCCCCCTCCCCGCTCCGCGGCGGCAGTAGCAGCAACATGGCTGTTGATGGGTGTTCCGGGTGGCGCTGGCGGCGGGAGGAGCTCCCCCGAGCCCCTGCGCCGGCCGCCCGTTGCTAGCTATGGCAAACGGTGGCGGCGGCGGCGGCGGCAGCAGCGGCGGCGGCGGCGGCGGCGGCGGCGGAGGCAGCGGTCTTAGAATGAGTAGCAATATCCACGCGAACCATCTCAGCCTAGACGCGTCCTCCTCCTCCTCTTCCTCCTCCTCTTCTTCTTCTTCCTCCTCCTCCTCTTCCTCCTCGTCCTCGGTCCACGAGCCCAAGATGGATGCGCTCATCATCCCGGTGACCATGGAGGTGCCGTGCGACAGCCGGGGCCAACGCATGTGGTGGGCTTTCCTGGCCTCCTCTATGGTGACTTTCTTCGGGGGCCTCTTTATCATCTTGCTGTGGCGGACGCTCAAGTACCTGTGGACCGTTTGCTGCCACTGCGGGGGCAAGACCAAGGTAACACGCGCCCCGGGCGTCCACCCCCTGCGCCAGCCCGGCTGCTTCTCGGCGTCCCCTGCAGCCCACCTCTGCGCTCCTCTCCGCGTCGTGTCCCCCTCGGTCATCCCTGCCTGCCTTGTCCCCCCTCCGCCTGCCCTTCGCTCCGCTCTCCCTGCACCCTTGGATTGGGGCAGCGCGCCTGGGGTTGAGTTGCCCGCAACCGGTGCGCTCTGGGACGCTGGATCTTGTCTCCCTGTTTATTGTAGGGTTGTTGGTGGCCACGGCCGGCCCGGGTAGGGGGGACACGCACCTCTCGTGTGCCGTGGTGCGGAGTGAGGAGAACCAACCTCGCGGGGACAGAGGTAGCTGGCAGACCCTGGGTGCGTGCCCCGCCACTGCTCACCTGCTGGGTTTGGGCTCCTGGCGGTGGGCTAGCGGAGGCATAACGTGTTCATACTTCATGAACACGTTAAGAGATGAGTTCGTGGGGTTCCAAAGAAGGGACGGTCCTTTGGGCACGGGAGAAAAATCTTTTGCATTTGAGAATCTCGGGTAGAAACGTGGCCCGAGAAAGTGGGGGACATGGGGAGCAAGAGAAAGTTGGAGAGACCCATCCCAGAATTGGGGGCAACCCACGATTTGCCACTTTCTGAATGTTGTAAGGTTGCAAGTCTGATGTCACCTCCCACTCCATCCTTTGCATTTTCTTTGGAGAACATTCCTCTACCCCAAGTTCTTTTGCCGCCTCTGCACTCCCCTCTTAGGCCACCCACTTTGGGTCCCCAGAAATGCTGCAGGCGGTGCCAAGCTGTAGCTGGAGGGCCGCCTGCCTGAGTCCGCCTAGGCCCCTTCCTGGCGCTTGAGGTAGCTGGAAGTCGCCTTAAGCTGTCTATTCCTAGCGCAGACGCCCACCAGTACCAGGATCCACATCTTAGAAGTATGGTTGCTAGGCTGATTCTTGGGCTGTGGTCATATCCCTCAGAAGTGTCCCTGCCCACCACCGAGCACTGGCTGGAGGTGGGGGACCAGGGGTGGGCAGTGTTCGAGACAGAACTGCAGAATTGAAAAAGAAAGAACTAGGGGAAAAGAGGGAGCTAGGTGCCTACTTTTTGAGTACTTCTCGTGCAAGGGACTTCACGGCACCCACATTTTTAGGGGGAGGAGTTACCTAGAGGAATTTTGGAAGGTAGACACTATCTTGATCCTTAAATGTTTACACCTTTCCTAGTAAAGTTTATTATGAGACCCCCTCAAACTTCACAGGGCAACAGCAACTTGTAGCAGTTAAGCAGTGTTTAAAGGAAAGAATTAGGCATGAGTTGGGGAAGAGGATGACTGTAGAACCCAAGGGCATCAGCAGCACTCTGTGTCAGTAATTATGCATCACCATAGGTGCGGGAGCTCAGCTGTGTTTTGTGGCAGCACATTCGTGTTTTGGAAAATATTGGTGTGTTGGAATAAGGGAGAAAAAGAGAAACCATCCTTCTTTTCCCTCTTTGCTCTGGAAGCTTCAGTTGGTGGGTGGCTGGCTTTGTTTGGAGTTACCTTCTTGATGGGGGAGGTTCCTCTTTCCTTGTCAAGGAGGAGAAGTCTCTCTCACCTTCCAGAAACGCCTTCAGATTAAGTCAAGTTCTTACATTCCTGGAGATGCCCTCTGCCTCCTCAGCCTCTTAACTTGCTCATGGAATATGATTCACCCACTCTCCTCAGCCTCAGGCTCCAGTCCTGGGACCCCCCCCCCCTTACTGAGATTCTTCAACTGTCCTTAGGAGAAAGAGAGCTTTCTAAATGGAAATGGTTTGGGTTGGCTTTTTAACTACCTCCTGTTTTTCAGGAAGTGGGCAATTTTGATTATAATGAAAACTTTTTTTTTTTTTTCAATGAGTCAAAATAAGATGTGGTGGTTTTGTGATTCTGAGGTTTTAAACACAGTTGTAGAATCTTTTTATTCTAGGTGGTACACAGCCCTAAGACAGTACCCATCTGTCCTCAGACAGTTTGTGCATGGAGTCTCTTTCCTAAATAATGACCAGCATAATTTTAGCCAGTTTTCTCGAGAAAATGGGTTTTTGGCAATGATAATTTGAAAAAACAATCCATACACAGTTGGCTATTTTTTTTTTAAGCTCCAAGACCAGCTAAGTGGACATAGTTGAAAGTTTCTATTAAAGAATCAGCCTTAAAATGAGAGGTAATTGTGGTTGATTGGAAAGATGGAAGGCCACTATAAATTGACATCAAGCTATTTTTGATATCATGAGTTCTTTTTAAATCATACCCAGAATCTCATACCTGCCTCTTGATTTGTTCAGTTAAACTGTGTGTAGCCAACTCACTGTATTCAATAATGGTAAGTTAGGCCTTTCATAAGCTTTTCTTCCTCCCCTTTGAGCTCTGCATTCTTTCTGTAATCATGTTACTTGTTCCTTTTCTTTTTGCTTTCCAAGTATTTGGTAGTTGTGTCAAGACTTGGTTCAGACGAAAGAATTTGACTCAAGTTGAGGGTAATGATTGTAGCACTAATCTTCCCAAGCAAACCTCAGCTGCCTTTGTACAGAGATCTATTCACCTTCAGGCGGATTTGCCCACCCTCTGGACAAAGTGTGGTTTATTTAGAGAGTAGCCGGAATCCCGGGGAAGATGCTGTTTCAGCATCAGCCAGAGGTAGGAATCCTATGCATTTGGGTCTTTGGGGCTGTATCATCACTTTTGATCAAAACAACCCAAGGCTGAGATATGCATTGTGGGGCCTTGCTCATTTGTACCTTTGGCCTCCAAAATAGCATATAGCCAATGATCATTTTAGAAAGTGGAGTGTTGACTTCTAGAGGAAATAAAAGAAAACTTACCCTGGGTGTGGTAGCACATCCTTATAAGCTCAGTGTTTGGGGGATAGAGGCAGGAAGATCAGGAGTTTGAGGCCAGCCTGTGCTACATAGTGAATTCAAGGCCAGTTTAGCCAACATAGCAATACCCAAAAGTAAACCAAACCAATCCAAACCAAAGAAACTCACCACCTCCCACCCTGGTTTGGAACTTGGGCATAAGTCTTTCCAGTACTGTGTTCTGCTCTAGACTTCTTTACAGAATTGCTCTGCCCCACTAGATTTCATCAGTATGTGCTGGTCACTTGGCTGTGACATTTTGAGGTCCAATCCAGACCTGGAGTGCAGTGAACAGGGGAGCTACCTGGCAACCTGAATAAGGCCTTTCACGTCTCTGCTTTCCTTGTTTTGCATTGGCTGTGAATATGAGGGTTGGAACCTGTGAGTTCTGATTCCCTCCCTGGTCTGGGATCCCACAAGATGGAAGGAAGCAGGGCACTGTGGGAAGGCTTTGGGCTCAGTGTGTTTTATAGTTCTCCCGATTCTTTTTGGAATTCAGCCTCTGAGCACTTATATGTCTTTGTTTCCTCTCCTGTTCCTCTTCTAGCATACAGTCCACTTCTCTTTAAATGTCTAGGGAAACTGAGACCACTTGTCAATGGGTCTGTGTGTGGCCAGGCGCAGACTCACCGCTGTTCTCATTCTCACGTAGAAGCTTGAGCTTGATCAAGCATGGTCTGCATGTCATGAATTATTGAGGTGTTGTCTCCATGGCTGTGTCTGAGAAAACAACACATTTTCTCTGTCAGGCTTGTGACTAATATAAATATCAGATCCCATTACGGCCTGGTAATTACCCAGGGTCTGGCCTGGTGCATTCAGTCAGGACTGCGGCTTCAGCACCCTGGAACTTTAGATTCTAGATTGGCCCAAGCGCCTAGTCTCCTCTCGACTCCGAGCTCAGCAGCAGCAATGACCTTCACAGACTCCTTTGTGAACAGATCATTTGGGGTGGCTTGGGTAGAGTCCTCAGCTCTCAGTCATGGGGGAGCTGAGCCGTCCTTGTGCAGACACCTCAGTGTCATTGCTGGCATTTTGTATGTTTTTTTTTTTTTTTTTTTTTTTAATGGAACTGGACCTTTTAGTATATTCCAGATTCTGTAGCCCACAGACCCAAGATAAATGGTGGATCTCATATTCAGGAGGATATCTTTTTCTGGCAGTTAGATCAAGCTTTGATTTCCTTATCTGCCGGAGGTACCTAATGACACGTTGTAGGATTCTTATAAGGAATGGGGATACCGGGTATGTAGCACCCAACAAATATCCAGTACTTAGCAACCTCTTAGAAGTGGGAGCTACCACAGCTTTGCCGAGTGTGGAACTGTTTTCTCTGATTCATTGAACAGTGGCTGCAAAGGGCATAGACTAGAAGAGATAGAATTTTGGAGCCAAAAAGAGCCTCTAGACCCTGACAACATGACTCAAATAATCTGTCCAAAGTCACACTGAGATTGGGGCTTCTGGCTTTTGGTTGCTGCAAAGTAGGATGGTTGGGACAGGGTAGCCAAGGAAGACTCTACAGAATATGCCCTGGGAGTGTGATTGACGTGTTGATGATGGGGGTGTTGTGGGTGGGTAGGCACTGATGATCTAGGTGTCCCAGAGCTTTAGGGCTGTCAGAAGGGAAACACTGAGACATTCAGCTGGTGGATGTAGCTGTCCAGCAACATGCCCTTGAAGAGGGACAAATTCCATCTTTGTTATCCCTTATTCCAAGTCCAGAGCTCTCCGACCTATACCCCCAGTGATGTAGCAGTGTCCCGGGCCAGGGTGCTGTGTACACAGATGGGCTTTTCCTTGGCAGCCTCTAGATCAGGGTTTCTCAAAGCATGTCTTTGGCCTTGCCCTTGAAGTTACCTTGGGAGAAATTGGTAGCGAGAGCATGGCTGAATTGCCCCTCAGAGCATCTCCCAGGCTTGGAGAAGTCTTACTGGTGGGGAGCTTGCCCTTGCTCTGAGCAGTCTTCCCTGGGTGTCTGTTCTTCTATGCAGTGACCAAATGCCTGTGACCTTGGCAGGCACCTTGGTGCCATGTACCTCAGTTTCCTCGTCTTCAGATTGAAAGTACTAATCAAGCACAGTCTATGGGGTAGGTACTTTGACTAACCCTTTTATATAGTGTCCCAGGAAG